CTAAGGCTGGTCGACACCACCATATGTTGGGATGAGTGGAAGTGTGGCCGGGAGTGCTCTGTGGAGTGCAGAGCCTGACACGTCTTCACTGAAGTGCAGCCATTGCTTATTTTGGCTCAGACCCTTGGGGAGATTTAACTGCTTTCATTATCTCTGATGTTGCCTCTGCACCCCAATTCCCTAACCTGCTCAAAAGCCAGGACACAACTTGCTGCTGTAGGCTTTTCTTGGAATGAGCAGGATGACACGACACCAGCATTTCCTTTTTCTTTGTCACTCATAAGTGCTGACCAATCAGGAACAGCATTTCCTGTAGTCTTAAAATACGCTGTGCCAGCTACTTTGGAAGTTGTGTTAGGAGGGTTGCAGGTTCAAGGCCAGCCTGGGAACAGTAAGGTCCAGTCTCAAAAAAGCAAAACAAGACAAGAGAAAAAGAAAAGAGTTGGAGAAAAAGAAAATAATGTGTGCTTATTAAATTTATAGCCGGTATTTGCTAGCAAGAGTGAAAAGATGAATTGCCAAGTGTGAAACCATCATGATTTCAACTCAGTTTACTGGTGAAACCATTATAACCCAAGATGTTTCTCTTATTTTCTTTTTCCTTAGAAAATTGCCTCACAAATGGTTTAGGCAAGGTACAGAACTAGAGGTGGGTAGACGGGTTTCTGTTTTTGGTCAAAATTGTGGTGTGGGGTTCTTTGTTCTTGTGTTTCAGGTCAGCACTGCTGTGTTACCCTACGAAACAGAACATGTGCTTCCTCAATTTGAGCACATGGAAGATCAGAATTCTGTGTGTTAAGAACATGTCTAGTTTTACAGTCCTTTATAAAGGCCAGTGCTTATTTTAACCTTATTTGAAATGGACTTCGGTAGATGGGCTGTAGCTGGAAAATAATGACTTACTCCAGGCTTGTCTACATAGCAGTCCCTCTTCATCCATCGTTTCACTTTGATTTCAGCAACTGCAGCCTGAAAATAGATTAGTATGATACGATAAGATATTTTGAGAGAGAGAGAGAAAGAAAGAGAGAGGTCAAATTCATGTAACTCTTATTATATGTTGTAATTGTTCTATTTAATTATTAATTATTACTGTTAATCCTTCCTCTGCCTAATTTACAAATTTATCTCAGGTGTGTATGTATAGAAAAAACATAGTGGGACCATTTGATGGCATAATGGTTATGTTGCTGGAGTCCCACGTAGTCGACCGCGGTTGAGTCCCAGATCTTGCCACCTAAACTCATGCCGGGTGCATGAGTGTGCATGCCAAAAATCCTGAGAGGAGAACAGAGGAGGGATTGCAGCATGGCCAGCCCCCTGGGGGTGATTTCTCACTTTCTGTCTTTCAGTATCTCCGTGTGTCTCTGGTGAGCATACACACTCTATAGCAAAAATCTCTCTTAAACAAACATTGTACTTACATGGTTTGATCCTATCCACAGTTTTAGAACCTGCTAGGGGTCTGGGGCCTATTCCTGCAGGTAAGAGTGGGCAGCTGTGGGAACCAGCAGTTAGGGTAATGGCTATGTCGCTGGACTCCCACGTAGTCGACCATGGTTCGCGTCCCGGACCTGGTGGCTTAAAACTCACAGCGTGTGCGTGCGTGTGTGTCCAAGATCCCGAGAGGAGAATGGAGGAGAAGGGATTGCGGCGTGACCATCCCCTCCTGGGCGGTGATTTCTCGCTTTCTGTCTCTCTGTCTCTGTCTGTCTGGCGAGCACATGCGCCCTATAGCAAAAACCTCTCCAAAAAAAAAAAAAAAGAGTGGGCGGCTGTATTTCTGATTCTCCTAACCAGGCATCAGAAGTTAAGGAACTCTCTTGAGTGAAGCTGTCCATGCAGAGGAACAACAGCTGTGAATTTACGTACTGTGTGGGTGGGCGCTGGCTGAGAGTCATTTTCTATCTCTCACCTTGTTGCTTCCACACTGCTTACTCAGGGCCCAACAGTAAACAGTTCCAGAAAAGACAAGGCCTGTTTCCTGCAGCCCAGCCTCGGAGGCTGCCTCCGTTAGCCAGCCGGCTACCCGTGCCCCGTGTGCAGCCCATTTCGGTCCAGGTGACCAGGGTCTAAACGTCCTCAGGAGGAGACACAGAAATCAGAAGTGTGGAATAATATTTATGTATCAGACACAGATATTCACATACTTAATCCTCAGAAACAATATGAATTAAGTATCATTGTGTCCCCAGATCACGTAGTGAGTGATAACCATTAGCGACAGTGCTTCCGCACCATGCCTATGTCTACATTTTGCTTTATAAAACAGAATGCCTAACATCATAATCATAGTTTTCTTTTAAAAATCACTCATGCTTATACGTCTGTGTATATGCATTTCTCTCTGGATGACAAGATTATGGGTGAGCTTTTTCTTTTTTTTTTAAGAATTATTTAATTTTATTTATTATTATTATTATTTATTTACTGTAGGACATGTGCACTCACCAGAGAGAGAGAGAGACAGAGAAACCAAGAAAGTGAGAAAGCAAGCTGCCGGATCTGGGACTCTAACCATAGTCAGCCATGTGGGAGCCCAGTGTCTTAACCACTACGCCACCTGCTGGCCCTGGGGGAGATTTTTTTTTTTTTTTTTGGTTTCTTTCTTTTTTTTTTTTTTTTTTTTTTTTTCTGGGGTTCACTGTTGGTCTCACTGTGGT